CACGCTCGTCGCCACACGTCCGCGCCTAAGGCGCTCCCGCGTTGGACTTCGACAATACGTAGCTTTGACCACCTTCTATATACAGATCGTGTGACTATGATACAATGTCTAACTACATAAGGTGCTATGGCGGTCCGTATCCACAAATGTCCGTGCAAGAGTCTGGTATCTAATGGCTGATATACTGGAAAACGAAAGAGACCTCCGGTTGCCCAACCTCCGCGCGTAATAGGTCGTCATGGTTATTCTTGAGTTCCGCATTCGTGAAGTGGTTCCATCTACGATAAGATGTGAGACATTGACACGAGTGGATGGGGAATATGGAACGTACGTGCTGGCGTCGCCATACAACAACGCAGGCGCCTTGATCATCTGCTTCCCGTTCTTACAGCGCTTACACTTGAACGTCTCGTGCGTCTCGCAGAGCGTCTTGTCGTTGAACAGGAACAGCTGCCGTAGCGCATCGATTGAGAAATGACGCTCCGTGTCTTCTTTCTCGTCGACCACGGCTGAGGAAAGCGCTTGCTTGTTCGCCTGACGCTGGAAGATCTTCTCCTCGATCGTGCCGGTCGAGATGAAACGGTATACGAAGCCTATTGCAGGATGAGACGAGCCTTCGCGAGACGAAGGGCGAGAACGTACACTCTTTCTTCTGGCCATCACGCCAGACACGTGCCAGCGCCTGTTGGTCGGCCGCAGGGTTCCAGTCTGTGACCAACGTCAAGGCGATGAAGGGAAGTTGCTAAGATGCACTTACCAGGGTCGAAGAGAATGAGTCGGTTCGCACCAATGAGATTGATACCGCAACCACCGGCTTTACTGCTGAGCAAGAAGACGAACTCCTTCCCCTCTGGGTTGTTGAACTGGTCGACCATCTTCTGGCGCTTGGGAATGGTCATGGTGCCGTCTAGGCGGAAGTAGCCATATCTGAGTCTTTGTATCAGAGCCAGACCGAGGGACAGAGAGAAGCTACGAACTGCTTGTTCCGTAGTAGCCTCTCGAACAGGTCTAGCGTCTGCGTGTAGTTGCTGATGAGCACGATCTTGTCGTTCGTCTCCGTCCTGATACGGTGCAAGAACCTATAGCGCCCGTAAGTGATTGCGCCAGGTAACGCGCGCTTGGCGGGCTCACCTCTCCAACACCAAGAACTTTCCGCCCCATTCGCAGTGCATGACCGTAGGATTGCCCCTTCCTCTCGATCCGCCTGTCTTGCCACCACCACCAGCGCCAACGAAGTCTTCAGGAATCAAGTGGTCCGAACCCGTCAAGTCCTTCGGCAAGTCCAGCAGCTCCGGATGGTTGCAAAGCTTCTTCAAAACATTGATCGCCTTGAGTGGCTGCGATTCCTTGCCCTTAAGCAATGCCTTGATCTCCGGTGACGTGATGAACAAGTTGTACAAGGACCTCTGGAAGTCGGATAGACCACAGAAGACGACCTGCTCGTACTTGACAGGGAGGTACTTGGAGAGTAGGTCGTTCGTGCGCCGAATGATGAACTTGGAGACTTGTTCGCCGAGCTCTTTGAGCTTTTTCTCGCAAGCGGCCTTGTCGGCGTCGGAGGCGTCTGCGTCGCGACCGCGGATGATGGCGTTCTCGAAGTTCTTCCGGAAGTCGTTCTTCGTACCGAGGAAGTTCGGGTTGGCAAAGCTCAGTAGGGAGAAGTACTCTGACAGGTCGTTCTATGGTGGCATTAGCGAGGATTCGGATGGCTGTCCCAGCTAAACGCACCTGGATTGGAGTACCGGACAGGATGACACGGCGCTGAACGTCCAGTGCATCCAGAGCCTTGTAAGTGAGTGATTCTGTATAGGCTTTAGCCTCTCATATAACCTTCTGGGCCATCACGCACCAGAGTTCTTCAAACGATGACCTTCATCACAAAGGAGTAGCCCAATCTTGCAGTTGACGAGGTACTGCTCTAGTGTTCGCAACGTCTCATATGATACAATCATTACTTAAAGACCAGAACTCTTAGCGTTTGGCAAAACCGATGTGGTGTATGATGCTTACCTGGCTGTGTAACGTTGCGCCCACTTGCGGCGACCCAACGTTCGACGCGCCCCAATAACTCTCCTCTCCCGCCTTTCCCGTCAACCGCCAATGGATTGATGGCGTTAGGTCCAAGCCATTTAGCTGGTCATCGATTAGTGCTGGTAAACGTCCAGTCGGGTAAGTCTAAACGTACTGAACTCGTTCGCCCAGTTGCGAACCAAACTAGACGGGCATGCAATGATGCACTTCTGGATGGTAGGCTTGCCGGCGTGCGGCGACTGCTTGAGTAAAGTCCATAAGAGCGCGATACATTGTAGCGTCTTGCCCAGACCCATCTCGTCCGCCATAATGCAACCGTACTGGTTGTCGACTAGCTTGCCTGTCGTCGCCTTGTACAAGAACTGGGGGGGTGTGACATTAGCGCCAGGATCGTAGTTCAGATACCGAGTCAATCATACCTTCACTCCTTCCACCTGATGCGGCCGCAAAACCTTCGTCAGCATAGGGTCTATGACGACTGGGACCTTGTCGTTGAGCTTCTTCTTGTCTTGGCCATCGCCGAGGAGCTGCTTCAACGACTTCCCATGCGGATTGAACATGCCCGCGTTCTTCTCCAGCGCCGCCTTTCGTGCTGCTTCTTTGGCCTCTTCCTTCTCCCGCTCCTTCCTCTCCTCATCCGTCTCACGGTCGTCTATAGTTGGGTCGTAAAGAACAAGAGCGTGGTCCTCCATCGGGTCATGCAGTGGTCGTGGCAGGAGTTTGATGGGAGGTCGAATGCCCAGTGAGGGTCGAGAGGGTAGGACGCGGAGCATTGTGCCATCTTTCTGCTTAATCGCTGGGATCTCGTATTTGCGCGCCTGAATCACGGCGAACGGCGTCACTTTATATGTTGGGTACTGCACGATGGGCTTGGGCTTTTCAAGATACGCGTCATTCATAGACTTCCGCCGTTTCGCTTTGGGATCATCATCGTCGTCGTCTGCTGTTGTGTCCGCGCCCTTGTAAGAGACGCGTTTGCGCTTGCGTTCTGGCTGCGCGCGTGTGGTTACGAGTGTGGGCGCTTTGAATGGCTTGTTGACACGTGCGCTTTCCTGAAAGCGGTCAATAACCTTTCCATCGGTCGTCGTGGGTACTCTTCTGAGCATAGCGAGGAAGAGGAGGAGCGGTCGCGGACAGCGCCGAGGACGGTGGTGGTTGGGAGGCAAGCCGCGCTGAGCAAGCTACGCGTCTCGTCACGATCAGCGTGCACATGTGACCGCGTCGCGCTTGCGAATTTCCCGGTCCCTTTTTCGTCCTTCTTTAGTTCCCGCCGTCGACGACGTTGTCGATCGACCGAATCGAGGTTCATGCACTCGCGCGATATGCCATATCCTTACCCACGGACGTATGCTGCATAGGCCGCCCACACCAACAGAGTTTGCGCCTCGCCAGGCGCAATACAAATTTTAGCGCTGGGCATTCTGATTTATCCTCTCAACGCCCGCGTTTACTTGACGTCTCAGAACGCCCTCCGGCACGGTGAACGGAAGGGGCATCTTCCGCTTTAAAGACCTCGGTCAGCGATCTCGGCGCCTTCTTACTTCTCTCTCCCTTCTCTGCTCGTCATGTCCGATACCAGGCAGCGGCGCTCGCCGCCTCCGACACCCAACCCACTGACACGGTTCGACAGCATGTCGCCCGTATCACCATTCTTCCCCCGGCCCTTCTCTCCGAGCCCGCCTCCCCCTTACGCTGCCAGGCCACCCACACCGAAAGGGAAATCATCCGTGCTCGCCCTAACACGAACACGAAGACCAGTGTTCTGCTCCGTATTCGCTATCCTGTTCGGCATCCTCATCTATCTGAACATCGCTTTCTACCGCTCTTCTGGTTTCTCTATCCATTTCGCACAAGCGCAACACCTGAATGATACCACGGAGATGCCGGCGGCCCGAATATCAAAGAAGCCTAGGATCGAGCGCTTAAAGGTCCTGCGTGGGGAACCGACTGAGAAATTCCGAGGTGCGTGTATAGCCAAATCGGGACGCGACTCCGCTGACCTCGGCGTTTGCAGACAATCTTCGCGACGATCTCAACTATGTACACTCATGGATCTCAGCAGGCTGGAGTGAGTTGAAGGTCGCTCTCGTCGTGCCACCCGTACTGACTGCTTCTAGCAAATGATCTCATGACGTACGCCAATGTCATTTACATCGGCCTCATCAGCGAGCGGGTGCCCATCGTGCACTACTTCAACTGGGACGTTCCCGGCACGCCGACGGACGTGCGCACGCTTCCATTCAGCGAGGTCTTCGATCTTGATAGGCTCAGCAACGAGATTCAACTGCCCGTCGTGGAATGGGATGAGGTGAAGGATCCGAAAAGCAAAGAGGTGGAGGAGCTCGGGTGTTGGAATGTGTGGGAGGCCGTTCAGTATCGCGATCCCAATCCGCGCTGGCCATTCAACAATACCTGGGCGAAGCAGGGCCTAGGTGTGTATTCCCTAGTACTTGTGCCGTCAGACTTACTCACTGTTCACAGACATATCCTGGACAACTGTTCCCTCCACGGTGAAGATCATACCCAACTTCGAGCACGACCAATGGGCGCGCATCTGGGACCTTGCGGCGGTGACATTCAACGTAAGAGCATCTTTGGCACAGGATGTGCGTTAGCTCACTGTTTCTGTAGTACGGACGCTCGCAAGCTCTTGGTCAAGTCAAGGAGTCGAGTCTGTTCCACCATGCCTCGCCTCCAGATGAACAATTGGCGTGCTTCGATTTCGTTTACTTCGCTGCTGCCGTTCATGTGCGTATTGTATGCTCTCTGTGCGGGTGATGTTGACACATGCCGGTACAGTCGGAAGAGTTCTGGTACTCCCTAAGCCCTGTATGGCGGGAAGTCGGTACACATATACACTGGCAACGTAAGTTCGCCCAAGTACAGGAAGGATGTCGCTCTAATGACACCTATTAGCGGCCATACAAGAGCTCGGCAACGAGTATATGCGACGCATGTTCAACGTTCCAACTGGCGGCGCAATCCCACCCTTCATCTCTATCCACGCACGCCGCGGTGACTTCTTCGACTACTGCGACCAAGCCGGTCTCGCGCGCGAAACTTGCTACCCGACAATGGACGAGTACAGATTCGCCATCGACCGTCTCCGCACCGCGATCGAAGATAAGCTCGGCGTATCTCCTACGCACGTCGTCATGCTCTCAGACGAGACCGATCCAGCATGGTGGGCGGAAATCCGTGCGCAGGGGTGGTACGTCCCAGACCACGAGGGTGCGGGGACGCTTGAGAAGTACGGGTGGTGGTACCCGGTCATCCTGGACGCGGTTATTCAGTCAAGCGGCGTCGGACTCTTGGGCACCCCGGCTTCGACCTTCTCGTTGATCGCTGGTCGGAGGGTCATGGACTGGCAGGGTGGCGTGTATCATGAGATAGCGTGGGCCAACCGTGAATCAAAACTGGGTGTGCCGGTGCCATAGGACCTTTCCCTCTGCGTTGTACGAGACTCTGCTGTGGGGTTGCTGAAGTAGTGTGTGTACCATCAAGTTCTTACGGACGTTACCCGGGGCCTGTACTATAGCATGTTCTCAATTTCCATGTATAACTTGTACCCCAAAGCTTCGAGCGCCTTGAACAGACGTTAGTGACGTCATGACTGTCGCGGTGCGGGGTACGCGAGCAGCGCGAGCCACAGCTTGCATCTGCACGACCACGAACCCATCTACGACATGTCTACAAATACGGCGGGAGCCGTGGCATCTGTGAGCTCTATAATGACGGTCACTTTGGCTACTACATGCTCATGATCTTACAGGATCAGGCCTGGAAGAACAGGGAGCAGGGCGCTGAGGCGGCCCACGCTCACTCGAAGGTGCGTACATCCGACCTATCTGTCCCATGCACTCTACTGATACATTATCTGTGCTCCAGGAGCAGGAGCAGCTTCAAGCGATCCGGGCACGGCAAGAGGCGGACGCGCAGGCTGCGACGGAGTCGCGCCGCCAGGATCAGCCTCATGAGGGCGGCTACGGTACGCGTCTTTATGCATGTGTAGTGTATAGCGCAGGGAGGTCTTACAATATCTTTGCAGGAGGGCAGGAGGATCTTGAGGATCGCTACGCGACGACAAGTGGAGAGCACTAGTACAGCCTTCACTCGGTCCACTTCTTCCCTGTATGAATATGATTACTGCACACACGTTCTCTCATGCTTGACACGGAAATCGACACATACACACGCACTGTCATATGTAACATCGCTCTATCTGGACCTTTGCATTTTTATAAGTCAGTGTTAAAGGACGATAATCGCCCCGCCGGGCGATATTGTTTCCTACGTCTCCGAAGGTTTGATAGCGGATGAAAGAATGCTTTAGGCTATGCAGACAGAACGACAGACAAAAACGCGACGCGATGACGAGCTGAGGGGGCAAGAGAGACGAAACTAGGTGACGGAGAACAACCGAAACCGACAGAGGTAGACCGTGAATGAGAGCAGAAAGGGCGTCAAGTAGTTCAACTAAAACAGGGGACGAGTAATACTAAGTTGCTAGTGACACTGTCAATGGCGAACGATCACAAAGACTCGGACCGCCACGGCTGATATCGTACGTAGATATACAGAGAATGGACATAGCTATAGGGCGCGTTATAGGCTGAGATATGGCTCGAGTGAGAGTCCGAGAGGGCGATGAGGGATGAGGGGATGGTATATATCGTGTAGCGAGCGACACGTCGTTTGTGGTATACGACGACAAGAACATGGTGAGGATGAGGGCGTAGGAGAGGTGTTGCAGACATGAGGCAAAGTCCCTAGACAGGCACAGTCCCAAGGAGGTCATAAAAATGTACAGTGAAGCCGATGGTCCAGATTGGGGACCCTATAACCTGTAGTTGCGAGGCGTCGGCGGCGGCGTGATAATTGGTGCGGGTGCTGCCAGCCCGCGTTTTGCGGCGGGTGTGCAGATGGCCGGTGTGGGCTCTGCCGACTCGAGCCATGCGTCGTTGTACTGGCAGCCGTTGATGGGCACCATCAGTCCGGCGTTATCTTGCGGGTTGTTCCACCCGTTACCGGCGCTAATCGTGCTGCTCTTGGCGCTGCTCGCGGTTGCTGTCAACGCTGGCGGTGAGAGCGTCGGGATGGTGCCGGTGGCCGTGTACGACGGGAGCTCAGTGATAGGGCCGGCATTCGTGATGGTGGTAGGCGGCCACTCGATCCCATCCGTCGCAGCGGCGCCGAGAGTAGAAGCAGTCGCGCCGCCCGTCGCACTGGCGGCAAGCGAGCCCGTCCACGGCGCAGTGTTCCCGCACTGTCCCACAGCCTCACGCGGGTCCGTCGGAATCCAACCTTCCTGCAGACCGAGCGAGTACGACCAGTTCGGCGACTCGACCAGACCGCTCGTCGACGAGTTCCCGACCTTCCATGTCCAGAAGAACCAGTTCTGCAATGCATCCATTGAAGCCATGGTGAACGTCTTGACGGCCGCCTTGTAGTCGTCGTCCCACTTCTGCCATTGGATGTAGCTATCGCACGACCCGACGCGCTGGAACTCGTTGCTGTAGTCGTAGATGTAGTTACCCTCGTAACGCGAACCTTGGCCGACGCCATTGAGGTATGTCCCGCAGTCAGTAATGGCATTGGAGAACTCGCCAGCGCCCGTGATACCAAAGTCGGTCCAAGACGTGTTCATGATCTTGCCCCAAGTCGTGCACGGCTGTGTCAGGTGGTTCTCGATACTGTCAGTGGGTTGGTCGGCGAACGCGACGTAGGGATGGTAGTCAATCGCGATACGGTCTGCGCCAGGAAGGAAACCCTTCCACCATGGGAGACCGTTGAACGCGTCGTGGAAGGAGATGATCGGACCCTTTCCAGCGCCGATACCGGATGCGAGCCGAACAGCGTCGTACGCGCCAACGTAGCTGTAGAACAACCGTCAATGCTCGAATGATCGCTGTCGATGCGTGAAAGCGACTCACAAGCGCTGGATGTTCTCATTGGACGTATAGATCGCACGGGGCTCGTTCAAGATGCCAAACATGGTCACAACGTCGCTGTACTCCGGCTGGGAGATGAACTCCGCGATGATACGAATGTAATCGAGCGTGCGCTGAGCGTTCGCGTAGCCCATCGTGCCGTTGAGGAAGCTCATCGTGCCGAGCCTGCCGGAGTGGTTCCATCCGTTCTGGCTTCCCGTGGCCGTGTGGAAATCGAGGTTGATACGCAGACCGTACTTGCGCGCCCACTTGATCGCCTTGAGGAAGTACCTGCGAGTTCGTTAGCCTGAGAACGCGGAACGAGGAGACCGTCAGGAGCAGCAGACGTACTGCCATGAAGTGTTGGCGAGGAACGGCTCGCCGTCCCGAGTCTCAATTGCCCAGAAGCCTAGCGGGATGCGGACATAGTTCAGCCCGGCCGCAGCGATCTGGTAAAAGTCGGCCTCCGTCTGCGAACGAATACCTCGGTTAGTCTGCTGTGGCTCTCAGGCAGTCACCACGCACGATGAACGTCTTGTAATGATCTTCGAGCTGGCTGATACCGCCGTTGGCCGTGTCTGCCCGCATGGCTTCGGAGAGACCCCATTCATCGATGGCCTGCGGATATTTCTGGTAAAGCGCCGGCACACTGCACATGCGGAGTCAGCACTGCTCTGAAACGGCCTCGCGACGAGGTGACAGCGTGGAAGGTTGGGGAAAATAGACTAACATGAACTGTCAAGGGCGGGAGAAGACATCAGCGCCTGATCAAGAATCGCGATAAACGCCCGCTTACCGGTTCCGTGACGAGCCATCCGCCGATGTTGACGCTGGCGAAAATATATACGGTCAGCGGAAGCCGCTCGGGGCGCCGGAGCAAAGATGCACATACCCGCGGATACGGTCAACGCCGTAGTTGAACGTCTCGTTGAGAGCCGGGGACCACGATTGGGGGCGTGCGCCGTTGTTGAAGGGATCGTCAGCGTCGTAATACCAAGTCCCGCCGTAAGAGTTGTCGAACGTGAACTGGCTCCCGTCGTCCATGGTGACTTTGCTGCCCTGGCCACCGGTGACCACCGCGGCAGTCACAGGCGTGCTACCCGACGAGCCCGATCCATTCGAATTTGAGCTGCCCGAGTCTGAGTCTGAGCTCGAGCCAGACGCCACACGATTTGAACTGCTCTTCTTGATCACGCCAAAGTAGACCGGGACGACCACGACGATGATGAGCGCTATCAACGCGGCAATTCCTCCCACTACCCACCACTTCCTGCGTGAAGTGGCGCGTGGCGTGGCACCGTACATAGCCGCCTTGTCTGACAAAAATCGTGGTGAGCCGGCGCCTGAGCCCACCGTCGACTGCGGTTCCATGGGCACGCCCTGCTCGTCGTCCATATCCTGTCTGGGCGCACTGGGGTCGTCGGTATATCTCCCACCGAGAGAATTTGCGGCATAGTACGAGCTAGCGCGCTCGTACGGGTTGAACTGGCCGCTGCCTTCTGTGCGGAGAGCGTAGACGGAGCCCACGCCCTCAGACGCGGCGCGGTCTGTGCCGATAGACGCGAGGGACTGGCGAATGGACGGGTCTGCGTCCTGCATGAAACGTGGGCGGGGCATGGCCATGCTGGTGCTGAGGTCAAACTCGCCCACTGTCGGGTCCGGGGTCGGGGGACCCGACTCGACGGCGGCGTACGAGTCGCGGTGGACGAGCCTGACGCCCTCTGGGGGTGCAGAGTCGAGGTCGAGGCCACGGTCCGGGCTGGGCACGGGGTTTGGGAGCGGCCCATAGGACGCGTTGGAGTTTGAGGGCGGGATCTGGGACATGGCGGGCAGGGACCTCTCTCGCCTGCGGGAGAACGTAGATTTATGAGAAGATCGCGGGCGCTATGGCTGAGAGCGACTGCGTGGACAGTCTGGGACGGGCCAAGACGGCGAGCAAGCCTCGGATGGCGGCGGGAGACAAGCACAGATATAGTTTATTTCCCGACAGTGAAAGAGCCTGGCAGGCACGCGCCGAACAGCGGCCTGACCATCCCGAGCAGTGCCCGTCGCCCGCGTTTGATCGCGGACGTTAGCCTCCGTCGGCTTCGACCTCTACTGCTTCCACTCGAACCATGTGTGTCCTTTCGAAGACTGCATGGGATGCGGGGAACGGCTTCTACCTCACATTGTTCTCGCACAGAACTTCACATCTCTGCGTCCGAACCTCCACCTCGCGGCAGTCGCCCGCCAACCTCGGAGCTTCGTTCCGCGTGCCGATGCCGACTTTTAGCTTTGGCCAAGCTGTCTTCCCGCCCATAATTCATCAAATGAATGTCTCCTGGCATCTCACTCTCCTGCTCTTCATCAACTCGTAGGCTCTCGGCGCATACGTACAAATCTGTCTATCTCTACATGCGCTATACAAAGCTAAAGGGTAACGAACAACGACGACGACAGCCCATCATAAAGTCAAACTGTGCTACTTATAGCCCATTCATTATCCTCTCCGTTCCGAAAACATGAGGTCACTGCACACGACTCTGAACCCGGCTCTTCCTATCGGCCTCGTACATCCCGTATATGCTATACGTTGGGCTTCTGTAGTCGTCGAACCCATCTTGGTTCACGAGCGCCTATCATCACAGTGTTAGCGTCGAAGGACAAGAGCAGCCAAGAGGTCATGCGTACCATCTGAGCGAGCGAAGGCAGTGCAGGCGGCGACGGCACCCTTGGCGGGCGATCCCCGCTCCTCGAATGCGAGCTCGGCAGCGGCACAGTCCCGCCATAAGCCTGATCAGGCTGCGGCGACGACGAGCCCAACATGAGCCTGCCCAACGACGTCGACGGGCTCCCGAGCAACGCGCTATCGCGGTCTCTGTCCCTATCGCGGTCGCCCAAGCGCTCGCCGAGATAATCAGGCGTGACGTTCGGCGCAGGCTTGCGAGGGACGGCCAAGCTCGCTTGACGGCTCAGCGAATCATCCGGGTACAACGTCGCCCGCGCGTCATGCGCGTGTGCCGCCGGCGGACTGCCGATGCCCAGGGCCGTAGCCAGCGCGCCAATGCGGCCGGGCGGCGGCGGGACGGGCGGCAGAGGTGGGATCCGGTCGTTGTTGTCGTAGCCTGCGCCGGTGGCGTACATTGACAGGCGCGCTCCGGGCGCAGTTGTCGCGTACGACGTGTGAGCGTTGGGCGCGTAGGACGTGCGGCTGTGAGAGCGGACGTCGTACGGTGCTTTGATCCTCGCGCGGCCTGCGGCGTCGGGTGCGGGAGAGTCCTCGTATGCCAGGCCACCATTACCTTGGTCGGCGTGGTACGTGCTCCTACGCGGGTCGCGTTCTGGACCACTGCGAGAGCGCCGACGAGCTTCGCGACCTGACGCGCTGCGACTGAGCCGGCGCGCAGCGGGCGGGACGGGCGTGATCACCGCGATATCCTCATCATCCTCGACCGCATTGTCATCGTATGCAACGCCAGCGAGATCGTCGCCGCTGAGCGCGACACCGATCGCGCCGGTGAACTCTTCCGGCGGCTCCTGCGCGAGCGTAAGAGTTGACAGGCGCGATTTGTACTTCATCCCGCGCTCAGACGTAGCGGGAGGAAGAGATACCGAAACAGGCTGAGCATGCGCGTACGCAGCCGTGGCGAGCGTCGCGACTTTGATCTCTGCCGCAGGATGCTGAGGAGGTGACTGTTGATAGTTATCGAAGTTGAGCCCGAGCGTGTGCTTCTCCGGCACACCAGACTGGTACTGTGTCCACTTGACAGGCCCGCTGCCCGCGCCGTTGCGTGTGAGCGAGTACCGCTCCGCACCACCGAACAAGGGCGACTCGTCAGGCGCAAGCACGCGAGGCTTCATTGTCATCTCAGAGTTGACTGGATGAAGGGACTCGGCGTCACCGTCATACCCATCACTTTGCAGGATTGGAAGCGACATCGTTGGCCGAATCTTGCGACGTGCGCGGGCGCTCTTGACGCAGCTGCGGATACAAAGGAGGACGGCGCCGAGAAGACAGAGACCGCCCACTGCTATAAGCGCTATTATGGGCGTGGATAGAGGAGATTTGGAGGTGGTATTGGTGTTGTTGGCAGCGGCGGCGTTCTCTGCTTGGAGGGTGGGCGCCGGGGTAGAGGAGGACGTGAGAAGAATAGTAGGAGCTGGTGCGCCTGTGAAGGTTGATGCTGGAGGAAGAGAGACGTGCGTGGCCGGTGCGAGGTAGTTGGTCGCGATACCGGCCGGCGCTGTGGATACGTTGCCCGTAGGAGGTGGAGGCGGGTTCGCGGGCGCACCGGTACCAGGTACCGGAGCAGGCACAAGAGCGGGAGCAACTTCATGGGATGCCTTGGGATCTACCTCAGCGTTGTGCAGGTTCTTGTCTACGCCCTCCGGCTTGTGTTCTTTGGGCTTGGGTTTCGCGGGTTTCTTGTTAGTCTGTGGAACATGTACAGTCTTGTACGTAGCGACTGGCGGCGGAGGGTCCGCATTGTGATCCTGAAGTTCGTAATTGACGCTTTTGAGGGCTGCTAGATTCTGCTTCTCGTTCTTGCGAGTGCGGGATGAAAGCTGTGTACGGGAAGGGCGTTTTCGAGGCATAGAGAGCGGCAGGAGGCGCGACCAGCGCTAGAGAGAGACGATGAACGGAAGTGTTGAGCAACGCGCTCTCGAACTAGAACATGAACATGTCCCAAACACGAACAACGCGGCAGCGGCAGCAATCGCTGCCAAATGACGCGTCGTACGCATATGGGATTGGGTTGGTCGCGAAGGTCACGCGGGCGCGTTTGATGGGATTGATGCGCCGCGTGGCTGGAACCTTGTTGATGCGGATGGTGCAAGCACGCGCCGCGGAGGTTGGGTCTTGGAACAAACGACCATCGCCACAGCTGGTGAAAGGGCCTGACAGACTGAATGGCGGCGGGCAGCATGGTTGCCACTTCGAGGTGGGCGCTTACAGTGCACGTAAAAGGCGACAAAGAAGACTGACAGCGCATTGGAAATTGGTGTACAGCAACGAAACGCAGCCCACGCAGATGTTGCAGAACATCCTCGGTGGTCCCCGCGTGCCCTCCACCACATCCAACGCGGGCAGCCCCTTTGCCCGACGCGTCTCCCCGCGCCAGGCAGCGCCCACAGCGAGCGTCTACGTGAGCGACGAGACGCAGGGGGTGTACGAGTCGCAGATCGGGGACGAGGACACGCAGTCGCAGAAGGAGAACGCGCCGAAGCGCCGGACGCTGACTTTGCCCAACACCCGCTCGCGCCCCATCTCGCCCATCAAGCCACCGCCGCGTGGCAAGAGGAACAAACCGTCGACGCCACAGGCAGACAAGTCCGTCGAAGACCACTCTTTGCCCCCACCACCCGTCTCCCGTGGTCGCAGCGAGCTCTCGGTCATGGACCAGCTCGTGCTCAGCCCAAACGCGCCCGACGAGAGCATGCTGCTTTCCCAGGGCGACGACTGGGACCAGCCTCATCAGTCGCCTGTCCCCGTGCCGTCTCCCGTGACGCGCTTGTCGCCGCCCCGAGTCTCTTCACCACCCATCGTCCTCTCCTCTCAGTCCCAATCCCAGGATTTTCAGGCCACGCAACCACTCAGCGCCCGACCTGAACTACCTCAGCCTCCGCCAGCACCACAGCCAGTACCGATGCATGCGCCCGGTCTGGATCGGTACCGTGCTCAGCGCAAGCAGCGGCACGACGCCGTCTTTCCCAAGTTCGCCCCTCTTGCTGCGTCGCCGGTCGGAGATGAGACCCAGCTTGGCGGTTCAGATGGCAACACTCAACCGGCAATTGGCTTCCAGTACTCGGACGCGGGCTCGACGCAACTGTTAGGTGGTGATGGCGCCACCCAACAACTCGGCGAAACACAGCCGCTAGAGGAGGAGACGCAACCTGCGACACAACCGTACAGTGTCGCTCCCGACGATGACGAACGTCAGGCAAAGGAGCGTGATGTGCTCGACCTTTGGAACCACATCCAATCTCGCCATGGGACGGGACAGTCCGCAGCGGAAGATACCCAACCGCTAGAAGACGACATTCTGAACGCTACACCAGGACAGATACCCGGACTGGGTAGCACCCAAGTTCGGGCGGAGGGCGAGACGCAGATGGAAGAAACGCAGGTCGATCCCGTTCCTAGCTCGCGTATAACGAGTGTACGCGATCCTGGGCTGGAACTCTTCAACCTCCAAACCCGTGCCGCGAGCGCTGGACCGAGTACTCAACGCACCAACGACGTTGCCCCTCGCCAGCGCAACGCAAGCGGCCCCATGCCAATGCGTGACCTGGGCTTGGAGCTTCTCAACTCCATCAACGAGAGTAAGAAGCAGCGTAGTGCGCCCCCTAGCGCGCGGACTGAGGCGGAGATGGAGCCCGAGAGTATGAACTCGGACGAGACTCGTGCAACACACGGCGGGTCATCGCCTCAACGCGGCAGGCGCGACAGTGGCGAGTCGGACATTGTCCCAGACTCGTTGGCAGGTTCCCTGCCTGCTCCTGCTACCAGCAGTAACGAACGTCCAAAGCGCACCATGCCGACATTGATCAGTCCGGACTCGGAGTCGGAAGACGATGTGCCGCTCTCCAAGCAGGTGGCCGCCAAGTCTCGCTCTGCTAGCCCACCCAACAAGCGGCGGCGTGTAGAGTCGTTGCCGGCGGTGCCCGAAGACAAGTCGCTGTCGATGTCGGGCATCCGCGCGCAGGTAAGCTACACCCTGTATTCTGATTCTGGGCAAGTGCTGATATCGTGCTATAGCAGAAGGGTAAAGGGCGCGAGGAAGATGACGGTGATGAGGTCCCGTCATCTGTGCCGCACGAAGACAAGGACCAGACGCCTGCTCCTTCGCGCCTCAGCTCCAAGAACAAGGGCAAGGGCAAGGCAAAAGCACGGTCCACCTCCCGATCTACCACCAGGACTACTCGCAGCAAGTCTGTGACGCCAGCACCCACCAGTGATGGATACGATGCGATTTTCGTTGGCTCGCTCTCCCCGCTGGGACCCTCACAGGACCCCATCGACTTGATCCCAAAGACTGAGAAGGGGCAACCTATGGAGGTCGACGAAGAGGAAGAGGACGTCAAGCCACAGATCTCGGCGAACTCTCGCAAGCGCAAGCGCTCTAACGCACCAGCGGCCCGCAATACCCGCGCGAAGAGCGCCCGCGTTCCGTCCGGCACGCCCAAGGCAGGCCCCAGCCGTTTGCGCGGCACCGTTTCGACGGGACGGAGGCACGCTTCGGGAGAAGCAACACGTGTCTTTGCGTTGTGGAAGGCGACTGGAAGTTACTTCCCCGGCACGGTGCGCTCGCAAGAGGGGAGCTCGTATTGGATCGACTTCGACGATGGCACCGACGCCCTCGTTCCGCTCGAGTGTCTGCGCCGCCTCGCACTACAGCCCGGTGACAAGGTCACGTTCAGCGAGGCCACTGCTGTTGTCGTAGCAGCTCTCGGCAGCGACAAGGATGCCGCTGTTTCAGTGAAATTCGTGACCGGCCAGGACAAGGATGAGAAGGAGGATACGACCGTCGGGTGCCTCGAGATCCCCTCTCGCACCATCAGCGCGCAATGGCGTGAGCGCACGCTCTCGGCCGAGGATATTGTACCCAGCGTGCGTCCACACGGCGTACAGGACACCCCGACGCCCTCGCGCGCCAGTACACTCAACAACACCGACCACCTCTCCGGCATCGCCTTCGTCATCACGCTGTCCACTACTACCAATCGCGACCAAGTTTTCACCGATACGAAGAAGATCGTCACGCGCCATGGCGGCAAGCTCCTCGACGAGTGGTCGGACTTGTATCATATACCTTGTGCGCCGGAGAGTGGCTCTGGGCGCAGTGCCGGACGATGGACCTGGGATCCAGCCAAGTTCGAGTTCAAGCCCAAGGTCGCGGCGCGCGGGGTGGAGAAAGTGTTTCTGATCTCGGATGAACCGTCGCATAAGATCAAGTACATGATGGCTCTCGCTTGGGGCGTACCATGCTTGTCTATTGACGCCATTAAGGATCCCGAGGTACGTATCGTCTTTGACATCCTCTTCACGAACGCTGTGAGCTAATGCGACTTCTATCATTCGTAGTTCAACCAGGTCTGGCACCGCTACCTTCTTCCCGCTGGCTTCTCGACCAAGCTCAACGCCAAAGTCTCTCAATTGATCGACTACGACTGGGGCGCGGACACGACGCACATGTCCGACGTCATGAACGCCAGCGTCGTTCAAACTCCCACCGTTGCGCTGCGTCCGTTCAAGGGCAAGCGTATGCTTCTCGTTGGAGCGGAGTTCGTCAAGACTGGGAGGAAGACGAGCGGGAATGCCAGCGAGGAGTATGGCATGCCGGAGATCTTGCTTTGCGCGGGTGCGGCGCGCGTCGTCTCGGTGAAGGATGTGCCGGCGCAGGTCAATGGCTTCGACTTTATCGTGCTTAAGGATACGGCCGGATATGATAATGACGACAGGGATGTGCCGTTCGTGTCGACGGCATGGGTCAAGGACTGCATCATCTCCGGCCGGCTGCACGCGCCGTAGATCCCTTGGCCCTGTCCTGCTCTTTCTTCATTGCTTTGTTTATATCGGACTGTTTTCTTGATTAGCGGCTCTCTATTGCCGCATGCTTTCTGTGCATCTTGTATAGTGTCACTTGGTTGACATCTCGCGCTGCTTGATTATCCTTCTTGCTTTCCGGCTTGCGTGGCCGAGGTCTTGCTTTCTCGTCGTCCATATCCCGTACCCTCATACCACATAGCGTACATCCCACCTGTCTCCTTACAGATACAATGAATAGAACTGTGTATACTGTGTGACCTCACTCCTCGGTATGAGCGTCGCCGGGCCGCCCGGCGTAAGACCACGTCCACGCGTGACATAGAATTGCGCGAGTTACAGATACGAGACGCTCATACCACCCACTGCTAGACATGTGAGACCGTCTTCCATACTTCTAGTATGACGCCCAAGGTGGCTATCCTGTTCCTTGGCAGCGGGAGCCACCGTGTGCGTGGGGACGGGGGTGTGCGCGATCGGACCATAGGGCGGACTGCAGTTTCGAATGGGAAATATATTGGGTCAACGATAGCGATACAGATCCTGCGAGAGAATAGCGAGGGCGGAGAGCACTAGTGTATGGTACAGCAGATGATGTCCGAGTATAATGAGGGTGCGTGATGGGCGAGACGGGGAGCTGGGGTAATAGTGAGAGTAGACGGGAATAAGATGCGGGGATGACGAAGACGAGGGGGTGAGGGCGAAGGGCGGCTCATTCGATGCGGGTGCCACATCTTGAGCATTTCTTCTCCGAGTCCAGACTAGGGTGTTGTCAGTGCTAGTTGGTGGATTGGAAGGGGTGGAGACGTACCATAGGCAGATGAGGCCTAATGGAAAGATGAGAACCGCACAAATAATGCCGCACAGGCCGAATGTTGTTGTCACTTCGTGCTCTCCTTGAGCACATCGTATCAACACTGTTCGTGGTCAGTATAGTGTGATAAATACTGTGTGCAGAAACGTACATTGCGAATTAAAGGGCGGGCCCATGCCCATATCATAGGCCGGATATTGGCGTGGGTCGGGAGCATAGGAGTGCGAGGGTTGTGCGGGCGGCGGGGAGGGTTCTTGTGGGTAGGACGGCGGCGGGGGAGCCTGCTCAGCGTCGGGCAAGGGGACCTTGGCGTCGATCAAGACCATGGCGGGAGGTCAGCGTTCGGAGGCAAGGGCGTGAAAGACGAAAGGCGGGTGAGGCTGTAGCCGTGTGTGAGTTCGCCAAGTCTTGTCCGAATTCGAGCCGCGCTGATGCCACGGGCGCTGGTCCCCCGCCCTCGGTCCCAGCTTCGTCGTACAGATTACAGCTTTCCGAAGCGCGCGCGCTCAGAGATCAATGAGATGGCGGTGTGTGGCGGAGGTGATGAAGCCCGCAGGTCCGATATTTTGTCTGCTGCGGATCGACCTGCTCTTGGAGCTGCGTAATTCAGCCCACGTACACCCTCGCTTCGACGGTATTGTGCCCGAGGTCCAACCGAGGTCCTGCTTGATGCTTCACAGGCGCCCAGCTCGTGCTACTAGACCGTCACCAACTGGAGCCAAGAGTACAATTATATGTCTACGATACATCCAATGGAGACAACGAGCGACTAGCAGTACATGCGTCCACTACTTGTACAAGTCCATGCAAAACGAATGAGACCCAGAGAAATCACTATATTTACGTCTATGGCAGTGGCATATCCCTGCCGCCCTTGCCGCGAGCCTCCCACTTGATGTCACGGTAGACGCCGCCCTGCCAGTCAATGACCCTGCGACCGGCGAGTAGCGAGTACGTCGAATCAGGTGTGCCCAACAAGCCGACCCCACTGGACAAGATCACCGCATCGTGAAAGACGGTGTACCACACCTTGCCGTACTTCTCGATGGCCTGCTCGTCGTCGTACGTAGGAGTAAACCAGCCTTGTGCGCGAATCTCCGCCCACCATGCTGCGTCCTTCTCGTCCGAGAGCACGACGACGTGTTGCGGCGAGATGCCCTTCTTCTCCTCGAGCGTCTTGCGAATACGTTGGACTTCTGCGCTGTACTCGGCCATGGACGGGAAGCATGCCTCCCTCGAGACGTCTGCGTACTTGCAGTAGTCGTAGAAGTCGCCGTGGCGTATGTGTATTCCGATGAATGGTGGGATCGCGTCGCTTGCTCCGAGGTTGAACATGCGCCGAAGATGCTTGTCGGCAAGTGTTTGCAGATCGGCTGGGAACTGGCATCAGAGCATGCACAGGAGCGAAGTCATCCGGCGTACTCACGATTCCAGTGCATATGCCTTGCTACATCGCGCCATACGGGACTGTATGTGTGCCAGAACTCCTCCGACTGCAATGCGGGTCAGTATCGCGTCCTTCCTGGTTTCACGGAACGAGTACGTACAACCGTGGCAGATGTGTAGTAGAGATAGTCGAAGCAGGCCATATGATCGTCAGGGAGGGACTTGTGATGGTTGATCGGAGACTCCGTAATCTTGGGCTCAGAGCCAGCAAGGCTCTTCTCCCGCCCGGACTACATTCTAGTGAGTAACGTTACTCAGAGCACACACTATCGGGACTCACATCGAACGTCAAGGTCGCAAGATCCCATATCCGAGCCCATTGGTCATGTTCGTAGCCAGGAATGATCTTGATGGTCTCAGGCGCTTGCGTCCACGATAAGTCTGTGTTCCATTAGTTTACCGAAGTTTCATCAGGACGCCGAGCGGTGAGATAGTTCGTACCCAACTTTTGCTTCTGGGACGTCTGGCCCCACGCCTCGCGCGGATGATGTTCCCTGTACTGCACCGCCTCCCAGACGTTCCAGCACCCCAGTTCTTCCAGTTCCGTGCTCGTGGAGTTCTTGACCTCGTCCCACTCTATGACCGGTAGTTGGAGGTCAGTGCTGAGGCGGTCGATGTCGAATACCCAGTTAAATGGGATGGGGGGAGCGGCGTTGTGGACATTGTTGAAGACATGCACGATGGGCACGCGGTCTGTGATTAGGCCGAGATAGATGAGGTTGGCGAAGGTCATGACATCGTTCGCTAGGAAGTGGCCGTCAGTTCTCGGTCGCAAGAGATGTCAGGGAGTGAACCCACTCCAACCCGCGGAAAGCCATGAGTGAATGTACTTGGTGTCTGCTCGCAGGTTATCTGGAAATATGCACTTCAGCGGTGGGTCCGGAGGTTAGGAGCCGTCCCATATACCTCGGAACTTCATGGTAGGAGCACCTCGCAAAGCCGCCAAGCGGTCGATGGGAGGTTTCTGTGATGTTGTGACAGCAATAGACGTCTCATCGAATCCGTGAAGTGACGCGGGGTACAGAGAGTGCCCAGTGTAGTACGCAGCAGAGTTCGAAATAAGGACGATGACGACCACTGCAGCAGCAAGAGTGCATAAGAGCGAGCGCCGCGCTCGGAGTACGGCCAGTACAGATGGTTTTGATGGCGGGAAATATAGTGGTGGTGATGGCGGGCTGTATGTCGACGGGAAGAAGGGGGAAACAGGAGACATGTCCGTGTAGCGAGTCATTGGATTGGGCATCGGAGGCGGCGAGCGAGCGCGTCTGCTGTCTGCCATGGCGATGGAGTGTAACAGCAAGGAGGGACACAAACCAAGGCGATGAAAAGGCGAAACCCTGGGCGGGCGGGCGCCTGCCACCTTTTATCGGGACATGCCTGAGTCGTGCATACCGGGCGGCACGGCACCAACAAGTCAAGGAGGCTTTATCGCACCTAGGCCGTCTTAGGCACAGACGCGCAGAGTCGCCGCCGATTCAGGTCCTTTGTGCAAAATTGCCTACTTAAGACCGTCAAGGTAGGTTCCGAGGTTCCGATTTGGTTCCTGTAACGTTCACAGTGACTGGGGCCGTATAAGAGGTCGACAGACTAGACGCAGATCGTGTACTAGGGCTCGCGGTACGATAGCTCCGGCTCAAGCCCATCGATGTGGCCAAGGCTTGCCGCCATGAGAGATCCAGCCGCAAGGAAACGCTCGAAAGAAACGCTCAATTGAAAGGTGACGCACCGACGACACCGCAGACGCAACGAGGCATCATCTAATGCCGCACCAATTGGGCTTGGTACGCACAGCACTGTTCTGCGAACGGACACGCAAGAGGAAGAAGGTAGAACCGTAAGTGCGCGCTCATCGGGCGTTCGGCAAACTCCGCTCACGCGCTTCGCGTCTGTTGATCAAAGTCGCGGAGCGCGCGTCCGCGCGCCGCGTCGCGGCATTGTTTATGAACCACCACCATGGCCGACCAAGAGACCTACGCCGTTGGTATGTATGCTTCCTGCGACTTGGGTACACACATACTCATTTCTCTCTAGAGTATGTGATAGCGGCCCAGGCACACGTCGTAGGCCGCAGACTGAAATGGGTACGTAGTATGCGCGTATTGAGCCGCACAGTCACTCATGAGACGTCTGCAGAAATATCGCGTCAAAGTATGTAGTACGCACTTGTACCGTGTAGTGCGTATGCTGACGACAGACTGTATAGTGGGAAGGATACGACGCTGACCAAAACTCGTTCGTGTACACTTCCGAGCTTCTGGGCGCGTACTGACACGCGTTACAGGTGGGAACCGGAGGGCAACATCAATTCTTCTGGAGACGACGACGACGTGCTCAAGCTCTTTTGGAAGAAGATTGATACGGACGGCCGCGACCGTGAGGACATGAGCGCATGGGAAGCGAAGGAGATTGTTTGGCTGGACGATAATGTGGCGATGGAGGATCCGGAGTATCCCAAGTTGCGGAAGAATGCGCGCCCTGGACGTATGTAATACATTTAGACCGGTTTGTTTTTTTGCTGATTTTGCCTAGGTACTCCAAGGAAGCGAACGTTGTCGGCCAAGGGCGCCGCATTGCGCCACGCTGAGCCTTCTTCACCCTCCGCCTCGCCTGGGCCCAGTACTTCGAAGCGTAAACGTGCATCTGCAGAAGATGCGGAATACACGTCTTCGCCCGTATCTCCTAAGCGACAGCGCCCACCAACACGGACCACGCGGTCCGAAAAGGCTGTAAAGCAGATACTAGATATTGGTAGAACGTCCTCTCCCTCGGTGAGTTTTCGACACACATCTATGTTATGGCGTACTCTCTGACCGTTTCTTTAGGTTCCTGACTCTGAGGAAGATATACTGATCATTGGACACAAGGAGGCCAAGGACAATGCGATGGCCATCGATGAGCCTTCCAGCAGTCGATCCACTCGACGACAGAAAGCGTCCACGAAACGCTTCGAAGAGCCGGAGCTGGTGGAGTCTGTCAAGAACTCCGGCACACTCGCGACCAAGGCGAGCGCTGTCAACGGCTCTGCGTCAAAGTCGAAGGCCAAACCTGCGAAAGCAAAGGCAAAATCCAAGTCCAAGGTCGGCCCCGGACGCTCAGCGAAGGGCGTGGATCCACTACTTCTTGAGAATGTCGATGACGCTCTCGAGGTCGCTGATGAGATTGGAGTGGGCAAGGACGCGACCGTGAATATCCCGGATACTGCGACCACTGTCTCAACACCGCCGGAGCAGCCATCGAAGGAGAAGATCGTGGAGGAGCTGAAGGAGATGGCGAAAGGCGTTTCAGGCGGTGATGAGGAGCTGGCAGAGTATGACGAGACCCAAGGCGGCAAGGACCCTAGCGTCGCTACCGACGCTGATGTCGCCATGACGCAAGCAACAGAGTATGTGCCCACTCCTGCCGCCGTCACAGCCATCATTTTGACGCGTTTCCGCAGAGTATCCAACTCAGCAAGAACAGCTGTCCTTTTCCCTACGTCTACCCAGAAGGACGCAAAACCCGCGGCCAGCGGTAGCATGTGGGGTAATATCAGCCGCACAATGTTCACTTTGTAAGCCTACCTGTCATTCTCACTGGTTTATGTACTTACAAGGCTCTAGTGGTAGCGCCAATGGCAAGAGTCCGTTCGGCGGCCTGGCCTCATCATTCTCTGGGTTGTCCACCTCGGCATCCACGGACTTCATGCTCTCCGTCTCACCGTCCCTCCACATACCTGCTTCGTTCAAGGATATCCGCGCAACGAGCTCGGTCTTCTCCGGTTTGGGCGCGCCCACAATCTCTGGCAAGCTCTACGGGAGGGAGGCAACGGACCTCTTGCTTGGCACCCTGGAGCCCGCGGGAGCTTTCGCTCGTGTCATTCTTGATGCGAAGGCGAGCCCGCGTGAAGAAGCCGCATTTGCCCAATTATACCAGCGTCTCGAGGGAGATTCTATGGTCAGTCTCTACGCACGGTGAGAGGACGTACATGTTCACTAACATTGCATCGCCTGTTCTTGCAGCTCGTTGCCGTTTACGGTGCCGACACGCTCGCATTCTGTGCCGTCCAGAGCGCGTCTGTTTGTGGCAAGTTGAAGATTCCAACCTCCCTCCGCGACTTTGCGAACACGATCCTTGCCGCGCACGTCCGCGTTCAGAACGTATCTGCCTACGCAGATGCGGCAGTCAAGGCGGAGAATGTTGCGTGGTGATCATAACTCATAGTTCTGGTACTTAGTTATTCGCGTCCTAGCAGCTGCTTCTACTTTTTGCGTGTTTTACTTCTCTGCAACTTTTTCTATGTGAGCTTGCTCATATAATCCACCTACAATTCAGCGGATGAGGTTGCCATGTCAGCCTTGTCATAATTATAAGTAATGCGCGTAGCGTCGGCGAGTGAGGCTGCTGGTTGTACTTACACGCATGTGGGTCAGTATAGATGCACACGGTATGATCATTGCACAGCTGAAACTGGGCCGCGCGCGCCGCTGAGCGTAGGTGTCAACGCTATGCGATATGATGCCTGCTCTTCTCCGCGCGTTAAAGTACCTGTGTGTGGTTTAGAAACATTAAGCGTATAGCTGACAAGTACAAAAGATCTGCAATGCTCACCGGAAATTCATTAGACGTTGCAAGACTGTGGTGAGCCTGGTCTATGTGCGCACTTAAAGCGACGTATATACCCACTTGAATAGCCGCGTCGCGCCCAACTGCAAGATACATCAGGTGCACTGTCCCTCGGCAATGTGTATTGTGAATTCCCACTCCGACTTAGGGCCCGTCCAACAACTGAGTTCAGCCCGAATGCCGTGCAAACTCCAAGGTTCAGCTGTCGTAGGCTTCCGTTCAAGGCGAGATTACTTAGTCTGCAAGCTGACTTTCCAGAGCTTTGATCCTACTCCAAGCAGGTGGCGCGAACTCCTCTGAATTTCTCTAATTGTGGTCCGAACTTTATTGGCGAACGGGCTCTTGTTTTCCACAGTTCACCTGCTTATCGAGACCTGTCACGTGGGACAAGGGCCGCCGGTTCGAATATCCGTGTCATGGTATGACGACGCGCATCTTGTTCAGCGCCGCCTCTTCTACCCCTCACGAGCGAAATAAGTCCAAATCATCGGCCACTGTGTCTGAAGCTGGTACGAAACAAGATGCCCCGATGAGATGCATTTTCTTATCTGCCTGCCAGGTCGACATGTCCAGCGTCCCTTCGCTGGATGATGATGCGGCCAGCCGCACATTGACCGAGTTAGGATGGAAACGCTGTGAGAGGTTGGGAAAATTGGAGATGTTCTGCAACGCGCATTTCAATGTGCCTTTGGAGTCCCCACAAGAGTTAGAAGCCTGGCCGGCATGGCAAGAAGGTGCGCTTCTACACCCGCCAGAGAATATTGTGTTCACGCTATCCTGGCGCAGTGCTTTCTGGTCCGGCTAAGCATCAGCCTACCATAGATGCCGCCACAAAGCTCTCTATCATTTCCGATTGCGACAACACGGCCCTTCCCTCCACTCCGTTCTACTCTATGGGCGATGGCACATTCTCCGCTCTTGACCAGACGAACAACCGCATTGCCGTCCGAAAGGAGCACGCTCGGTTGTACGATGATATCGCGAGATGGGGCAAGAGCGCTGTCGTGACTGGGCAACCTAGCTCGGGTAGGTCACTCGGGTTTCGTATTCCACCGCCGAAGCTTCAGTATTGACCATTTGTGCATTGGCAGGGAAGACATATTTCATTTATTATTGCCTCCTGATGAGATTGTCACTTGGGAAGCCAGTTCTCTTCAGCCCCACGCCTAAACAGTGGTTTCTCTTTGCACAATGTGGTGCTTGGTCCGCTACGACTACGTCTGTCGAGCGCCGGCTGAACGATAACACGAGGCACAAGTACCGCGAGATTCTCACCTGCGATACCTGGGCCCTCGTGGACGACGACAACAGAAGGAACAAGGGACCTGACCCTTACTTATGGCGCAACCCCCTTGAGATTCCCACCATCGTGGCTAGCCGTCCCATTGCTGGCCGTTACGATGGCTGGTTGCGCTCCAACGATCCCCCACTGCTGAAAATCGTTGAACCGGCATCATTCGGGGAGCTAGTTCAAGGGTAAGACTGGCTCTGTTCTCGCTGTTTCTCAGCCTACCGTGATCTGATCTCGACGTCGTGTCAGCTTCAGACTACTCCATGAAGAACCAGGCCGACGACGTTTCCGCGCACCGCCAAATGCGAAATCTGCATTCGAGGATCTCTTGCACTCAATGAAGGTGTTCGGGCGTTCCGAGAACAACTGTCTGCGAAGCTTCAAGGTGCCCAACAAAGAGACCGAGAACAGCGTACGACAACACATCTCACAAATCGACTTCACCACCTTGCAAAAGATCTTCAACTCGCTGAAGCGTACGCCCCAGGACGCCCCGAGCTCCCTCAGCGTTGATGTTTTATTCGAGCTCGACTCGGATGAGACTTACATGATGGCCCTCAACTCTATCACTATCGTCTCACCCCGAGAACCCGACCAGCAGTCCGACGTCGCCGTGAATGATCGGGTCGGGCTCGATATCGCCTCTAAGTGGATTTTCCGGCAGCTTCTAATCGTCTTCCACTTGAAGAACCCAGAGCGTGCCCGAGATTTCCTCAATATTTGCACTCTCTATCCTCAGACTAAGGCAATGGCGGGCCATTTCTTCGAGGACGTGATTCACGTCATATTCTCTGATGCACGCTCGGACTGGAAAAGCCGTTGCACGCTCACTGAGTTCTTCCCCTGTGATAAATCTCGCCATACCGACCGGAACCGTTTTCCTTTGCGCCTCGAACATATCTTCCAAGAGCGAAAGCTTGAGGTGTATTCCGGCCCTGCCCCTAAATTCGATCCTACCCGCTACCTCAAGCCTCTTGCCAAAAACAATGCAACCTTTGATTCGATCGTGTACGCAATCGAGTCGTCCGCATCTCCCAACGAAGAGGCGCCCGAACACGAAGGCCCGGCCCGACCACTTCCTCCAGCTCCTCCGACTCCGCAGAAAACACGATATCGACTGCGTCAGCCTAAGATCCCGAAGTCGAGGACCTTGTCAACAAAGCCCGGCTCATCTGCCCGTCCAACGGCGCCGGCGTCGGTGTTGCACGCCTCGCGGTCGGCTGAGGTGCCTTTCTCAGGGAGCCCGAGTCCTCCTGCGTCGACGGTCAAGGGAAAGGCACGAGCGCGTGACGAGCCCGCTATCCAAGAGCGCCCACGGAAGGCGGCGCGGATGGAAGTCCCCGACCCAGTGAAGCACTGTGTCGCCATGCAGATGACTGTTGGAAAATCTCATACATGGAATACAACAGGCGTCCAGGAGCTTAGAGGCACTTTCGAGGAGGATGGGAATTGGCATTTCGTCATTGTCACTCATAAAACAAGCGATTTAGATATCCTGACTCTGGGAAACAGTGTCAAATGGAATCAATATGCCCCCTACTTTCGTTGGTACCAGTGTACTATTGATCTTGCCGGTTCGCCGTGGGAGGATGTTGACTATATTAGAGAGGGAATGGAGCTCAATGTTGATGACTAGTGTCTTTCTCGCAGCACCCTGATCTATTCGTATAATAGATGATGTTATTTCACCCACCTTGACATCAAAGTTATCCAATGAGATTTTCCCGGCGGTTCAGCACGAGGGAATGGGCGGCTGGCGCGGCCAAAACCTTGTACGAAATAGGGACTGATCCATCATTGGTACCAGATCATAACGCTACATCGCGCTCACAATATTGAGCTGTGTGGACCCCGGTTATATCATTCCCGATTTTATATAGACGATACACTCAATGGGCGTTCGCACCGAGCCGCACGCCGTGGATGAAAGCCCATGCGAACAGAGCCAAAAGCAAGCCCGAACCTTTGGTCATGCCTGAGATAGTACCTCCGAAATATTACATGCAATTTGTTCAATAACCATCGAGCATGCTGGCAAGCCCTCGATGTCCACATCTAATAGTCTCTTGGCCCTGTTGATTGTAGGTAGAGGGTTATGAAGTTTCTGCACTGCAGGCTGCGGACCGGGAGTAGAGGTTGGCTCCTGGAACGCGCGAGTCGAGTGACAGTACATCTATGATGTTCATAGGCATGCGCCGCGCGCGGCCAGAATGAATGCAAGAATATATTCAATCGCCAGCTATTTAGGATGGTACAGACGGTAAGAGCGCGCGGGCGCGAAATGAGTGAGGGGTGCAGCCGCTTGGATAGAAGTGGGAGGCAACGATCACGAATGGCAGAGGGGCACCTCAATCCGCCGCATCTCGAGCCTCGGGGCAGGCAAAGATAGTAAAACTATATCGTCGTCTACACTCGACGAAATGGAAGATTGATCTCCAATTGGTACCACTTCAGCTTATTTAGCCACTGATTGGGGATGGCACTCAAGTCCACGCCCGCGTCTTTCAAAGTGACAAAAACCATGGAATGCTCCGTGGAGGGGTCGGCTTCCATGATGCACTCTAGGCGGTGCAAGCC